TTAAAGTCAGCATATTGTTGCATAAAACTCATATGCAATAAGTCGTTTGAGACAACATTTGAATTAGTAATAATTCAATATGATTAGCAAAATTTTGTTAGCAATATGAGTATTCGATAAACAATCATCAATTTTCTTCAAAAATTATAGCACATCAATCACTCTATTTGTTTCATTTGTTAAACAGCACCTTTAGATTGTCATCTCCAAACATAAATTATCTCCATTAACTGTCGAAACATCCATATGTTTTTATATACCCTCAAATTGAATCATCCATAGATTCAAGATGTACTTTAGTTAGGGTGCGCGATTCTTTCATCTCTTCTCCCCATTTTTTTTTATCTACATAAAGTCTTACGACAATATTTATGTTGGGTTTGATTGAATTCTTTCTCGGTTTAGGATTTTTTTCATTTTACACTTGTAAAGATTATTTGGGCGTAAAGGTTTGAGTTGTGTTTCACTTGCCTAACCTTGTGATTGAACTGAAAACATTGTACAGTAATTACATACTCATGGTATTTACATGTCAAAATTATATATCTTCTGTTTTCACTTCGGTTGCCCAGCTCACTTGAGTAGGTAGATGAAATCGCAGTGAACTATCGTTCCCGACAGTTAGCCTCAGCCATTCTCGATAGTTGGCATCTCCAGCCATTTGTTGATATTAACTGTCAGTATCGACAGATGACCTCTCCATATCGACAATTGATATCAGTTTTCCATGACATCTGTACCCTTGCACATATCTTCATTTCGTTTATTGTGCCCTTACACGTATGCTTGGCATCAACATGTCGAGTACCTATCTGTTTCTCATGCGTCACATTATACTTGTTTATTATATGTTACATTATGTGTTACATGATGATCTAATCTCTATTTTTGTCACTGTAACTTGTAGGACAAATGGAGTTTAAATTCCTTGTTCTAGAGAATGCTATGTTACTGTCTCACATTTCGTAATGGAGCAACTTGAAGTATGTGAAGATGGTCTTGGAACACTTCGACGACAGACAGTGTGAGGACTTTCGAAATTCATGCCTCGGGTTCCTTGCCGAGATGCCTGACATACAGTTCTCAGCTTATCCAACAGCATGTGTTCAAATCCTTCCAAACTGATAAGGCAATGAGGTGTGGTTCGACATGTACGGGCGCATGATGAGGTTTGGACTGTAGGAGTACACGCTCGTAATGAGGTTACGATGCGGTCTCTTCCCGGTGGGCGATGACCTCACTCAAGTGCTTGAGAGGAAGAGGTTGAAGGAGAGGTACTTTAAATTAGTCGACGAGATTTCGTGTGTACGACTCTAAACCACTTTTCTTCGACCTTCGACACCCCAAGTGGATCAATACAAGATCGGCTTGGTTCTCATAGTCGAAGTAGTGTTCAATGCATCGAATAATAATGTGGGTATTGATTTGGTCACTGTCTATCGTGGACAACCTCGACTTATTTAATGCCTACTATTAGGCTAGAGTTAGGTATGGATGTATTCGAGACGTAATGTTTGTGTTTTGCTTGTGAATTGTCGTGTCATGGAAATCAATTTTCCATTTCGACAAATTGTCAGTCGAAGCTAATGGAACCATAATAATCGGCTAAGTTTATAATGAAAATAATGTATTTATCCTATTTGTGTTAATGTAACTGTAATAATCGATACTTTGCTTGTAAAGCATAACGACTAATTTTTTGTTGGCATATGATAACAACAATAAATTAATAACATTAGTTCGGAATATACACTGCATAGGGGGAACATTTTCAAGATTACATTTGATAACCACTTTTACCATCAATTTAAGTCTTCATCATCGCGTATTTTGGCCAGAGGTATATTCAAGTTGGGGATTTTGAACTTCAATTCAATTTGAGTGCGGGGATCAAGAATACCAAGTTTGACCTTCAACCTTAACAAAAGTTCAGTTACAGTAATACTTGTCAGCACCAGAATGAAAGTGGTTTTGTCTCCTCTCTACTTCCATTCATCATCCGCATGAACAAACTTTCCTCCATGCGACACGATAAATTTCAAATTATTACTCACACGTGAAATATTGAGATTACAATGGTAAAAATTCAGAATCAATATGTTGGCATTTAATAACATGAAAATGGCATTACATAATACGTAAATCGGTACAATAGCAAAACGTCAAATCAAGGGTTTCCATCGTTTTGAAGTGTCTAAATTGACAGTAAAATTGTATATCCCGACAGTTTATAAATGTCGGGTTCGACATTTCAAACGTTTAACCCGACTATTTGTAAATGTCAAATTCGATAGTTGAAATGTCGAAAATGTTGGAAAGTAGACGGTAGTGGGTGGAACTCAGGCTTCCTCAGCACAGCACATTAAGTATGGTCATTACTATTGAGCTACCAAATGACAAAATGAAAAGGTCAGATTGGCCTTGTCATTAAGAAGACATTTAATGAAAACAATGTTTGGTTTGAATGGAAGAAATTACTCAAAACATTAATGGTGATAATAACATTTTGTAGTTTATGAAAAAGATGGAGAAAAGTTAGGGTTTGTAGTTTATGTTTCATTTTTAAATTTCTTTTATCCTTTTTTATTAACAAAAATTCATATTAATCAATAAAATACACATTTATCCATGTTTTTTTTTAGTAGCGTACCTTTGAGATTGATCATTAGCTTTTCTTGTTGCCTTGTTGATGATGGAATGGAGATGATGAAGAAGAATGTAGGGTTTCTATTCCTACGTGTGTGCGTGTGTGCGTGTGTGTGTGTGTGTGTTTTTTTTTTTTTTTTTTTTAGATTTCACCTATTTTTTAATCAAAAATTCATATTCTACAATATAATATTCATATCTTCAATGTTAAAAATAAATAAAATAAATAATCATATCACACCATTAATTGCATTCAAATCAACCATTTATTGCTCCTAAAAAGGTTTCAAAGGATAAAATGGACATTTTGCAGGAAAAGCATGACATTTTTGGAAAACAATTGGTGCAAATGAAAATTTTTTGTGCATATTCAATTTTAGTGACATTTATGTAAATTCCCCTTTTTTAAATTTAGTAATGAATTCAATATATTTGTTAGCTAAATGTAATTATTTATTTAATAGACTAAGCTCCTATCAATATAATCAAACAACAGAAAATAGCCTATTTTTTCTAACGAATGTACAACACACCCACCCTATCTAAGCGGATCAACCTTCGACAAAATCTTGGTAGTTCCATAAATGATAAGAACCATTCTGTCTTCCCCATCGCACCTAATTTCGCCAACTCATCTGCAGCCTGATTAGCTTCTCTATACTGATGCATGATGTGAAAGTCAAAATTCTTGAGAATTTCTATCAAATCTTCCCAAAAATCCCACAAGTACCATAATGTACATTTCCTTACCAAAATCCAAGAGACTAACAACGGTGAATCACATTCAATATCAACCTGATTTAATCGCAAATCCTTACACAAGGTCAATCCATCAATAAGCGCTCGCAACTCCGCCTCGTTGTTAGTGCCATATCCGAAGAAAGACGAAAAACCTGCTATCAACTTGCCCATTTCATCTCTCACAACCCCACCACTGCCAGGCATACCTAGATTGCCTAGACAGCTTCCATCTACATGTAGTTTTACTTTGCTAGCCGCAGGTTTAGCCCATTTAACGATCCGAAGAGGTCTCTCTTGTGTCACCATTGGATTAATATCAAAGTTTCTAAGAAGTAATTCTTCTGACCTCGAGAGAGCTCATTCCTTTTTCAGATTGGATGACACTTGTTGTAGCCAGAATTTTATCGAGTGAAAAATCTGCTCCACAGTTTCATGAACACCTTCCATTCTCGCTTTACAACGCCTCATCCATAGCCTCCACGTCAGTATAGTTGGAAGTAGCCCTTGTAAACACCCAGCCTGAGATTTTTTATGTGCTCTGGCCCACCATAAATGTACTCTATCATGCCAGTTTTGTTTAGATCTCCACCGAATGCCCAAAGCCACTGAAACTTTCCTCCAAACTTCATTTGCCACCTCGCCTGTACTCAGAACATGGTTAGTAGTTTCTTCCTTTCCCGTAAGGTAGCAATCACAACGAGAAACTAAGGCTGCACCCATTTGACGAACTCTACTATCAACACTTAGAGCTCCAGAAAAAGCCTTCCACATTATCACTAAAAATCTTTTTGGGAGTGCAGAGTGCCATACCCATTTTTCCCAAGAGATTTGAGGATTTCGAATTCTAATCATGTCCCATGCACTCTTGGAAGAGAAGGTTCCTTGACTACTCGATTTCCAGATAAGAACATCATCCCCCTCTCTACATTTACTCACCTTAGCCATAACACTAGCGGCTTTATCTTCCCCTACAAGTTGCAATAATTGATCCACATTCCATCCACTGTCCAATATGTGATACATGTCTTGACCAATATGTGATGCATGTCTTGCCAACGGGCCATCCTCTAACCAATGAGCATACCAGAACGAGATAGACCCTCCCTGATCCTCCATTGACTATTGTTAATCACATCAGGGATGCATCCCGCAATAAAGCACCAAAATCGAGAACCTATACTTCGCAAAGTGGAAACATCAATCAAACCATGCTTAGTATATTTTGCCCAAAAAAAAGTTGCCCATAAGCAATCTGATGACAGTAATTTCCATGCAAATTTCATGTGCAGGGCACACTGGACATCTTCAAATTTTGTAACTCCGATCCCTCCCCCCTCCACCACCAGTCTATAGAGTTTATCCCAAGAACACCATTTTTTACTAGTCCTCCCATTAGCCTCACCCCAAAAGATAAATGAGAGGATGGAATTAAGTCTTTTAAAAATAGATTTTGGAACATTCAACACGGACAACAGATGGGTAGCCATACACGTGAGGACATGACGAAGTAAAACCAGTTTGCCCCCTTGCGACATCAATTGCAGCTTCCAACTTGCAATTTTCTTTCTAATTTTCTCCACCAAAGGCTCGAGATGGTGGGCAATTAATCGACCCTAGACCACCGAAACTCCCAAGTAAGTAATTGGGAATTGACCCTCCTTAAAACTAGTGTCCCTTAGTCTTTCTCCTTTCCAAGCCACTGAACAATTTTCTGAGAAAAATATAGCAGTCTTCTCCTTGTTGATCTTTTGACCAGACCAGCTCTTATATAGACATAGAACCTTCTTGAGTTCTCTGATAGACTTTTTCCCTGCATTGGCAAAAATTACTAAATCATCAGCATACATCAAATGAGTTATTGCACTTGCGCCCCTAGAGTGTGAGAAGCACCCAATCCGTCTTTCCTGAAAACCTCTCTTTAGCAATCTAGTCAGCACCTCTTGCATGATAATAAACAAATAAGGGGATAATGGATCTCCTTGGCGAAGACCACTCGAAGATTTAAAAAAGGCTTGCATGGTTCCATTCATCATCACTAAGAACCATAGTGTAGATATACATTGATCAATTAACTTGCAAAACCTTACCGGGAAACCAAAAGATGATAACACATGAAGCAAGAACTGCCACTCCACTCTATCATATGCTTTAGCCATATCTACTTTAACCATCACATTTCCACCACGAACCTTTTTAGTAAGAAAATTCACTAATTCTTGAGTGAGTGTAATGTTCTAAAAAATACTCCGACCTGGAATGAAGGCTCCTTGCTCTTGAGAGATAATCTTAGAAAGAATATCACTCATTCTTTGAACCAAAATCTTCAAAAAAAATTTATACACAACATAGCAAAGGCTGATTGGTCTAAACTTTTCAAAATCACTAGGATTTTCTATCTTTGGTATCAGCACAATATATGATGATGTATAAAATCAAGGTAGCGCCCCTTCGTTCAAAAAAATCCTTTGCTGCCTCCACTAAATCCCTTTTAATAATATCCCAGCACTTGATAAAGAAAGCTGACCTATATCCATCAAGCCCAGGTGCGCTATCCACTGGTATCGAAAGAGTTGCAGCTCGAACCTCATCTTCTGTCGGTAGGGCACATAGCATCTCTCCTTCCTCTTGCAAAACTGCTGACTCAATGATGTATGATAAATCTGGCAAAGTTCTGCTTTTCTCACTCGTAAGAACAATCTAAAGTTCTGAATGTATTTGTTGCGGTGTTGATAGAATAGTTCCGTCTGTAAACTTCATCTGATTCAACTTTGATTTTCTGCGTCTCTGCGAAACTACAGCATGATAAAATTTAGGGTCGTTATCACCATCAGTCAACCATCTCTTTCTTGCTAGTTGAGACAATCTAATTTCCTCTCTCCTTTGCCACTCCTCCAATTCAAATTTAGAAATCAAATATTCTTGTTCTACATCATCAGAATATGTGTCTTGTAACCTGTGATCGAGTGCCTCCACCAGTTCTTCTAACTCCAAAATAATATTATCTACCTTACCAAAAACCTATTTATTGCACACTTTCAAAGCGTTTTTAGTAGCCTTTAGTTTAGCCGCTAATTTTTCTAATCCAACCAACATCATATCACTGTCTCCCAATTTCCATGCTGCCTCCACACATGGCAAAAAGCACTTATGCTCGCACCACATTCGTTGGAATCAAAATGGGGTCGGGCCATAAGAAGCATACTGTTTTTGCAAGTGAATAGTCATAGGACGGTGATCTAAAGATGTACCTGGCAGGTACTTCATATTTGCCTCTGGGAAATCACGCAACACCTCCTCACTTAGCAGTGTTCTGTCTAGCCGTGCCCAACTTCTAGTCAAGCCTTCATGTCCATTGCACCAAGATAATTTTCTACCTAAAATTGGTAGCTGTAAGAGATAACACTTATCAATGCAATGATTAAAATCTACCATAGCATAAAGAGGTCTAGGGTGGCCACCCACTCGCTTAGAGTCATTTCTAATGATATTGAAATCGCCAGAAACTACCCAAGGAAGGCCAATCACCCTAACGTTCTCCAACTCTTGCCAAAGTTTCCTCCTTTCTAAAACATTACATTTCGCATAAATGAACGAAACTAACATCTTATACTCCCCCTTTATGAAAATTCCATGTAAAGCTTGATCCGAAAGATGAACCCACTCAACCTTGTAATCATCACTCCAAAAAACCCATAATTTGCCTCCTTCTTTCTCGTTTGATATAAAATTTGGTAACTTTATTTTACAAGCCAAAAACTTCATTTTTTCTTCCCCATGAAAGGTTCCGCAATCCCTAGTATTTCCACATTAAATTTCCTCACCAACTTTTGTATCCTTTCTTTTGACGTGCCCACGCCTCACATGTTCCACATTAAGAATTGACCAATCATAAGTCAAATTTAGCAAGGCATGTTCGCGCCCTCTGTGATGCTCTAGCACCCTGAGAATTGCAACTTCCACCCAGCAATTTTCTTTCTGTGTGTCACATAAGTTTTGCTAAATTTCAAATAGTTATTAAAGTATACCTCTAATCCTATTAATTGCTATAGTTATTAATTATTTAGAAATGATCGCGTGGTTGGTAAATATGATAGGAAAATTAGCAGATATGGTAACGAAGATTTATGAGCTTTGCTACAAATACAAGATTTGGGGCAAGTTTATAAATTAGGGGGACACATGTCATTCAAGGATTGGACAGTTAAAAACAGAAAAACAAAAAACAAAACAAAACAAAACAGGAGCTGCCACGCAACACCTGCTTTTTTATCCCTGGAAGCTATCCCTCTCAGAATAGCTTTCTCCAAGATTTATTGACGACCTTACCTCGACTTACAAGTGTTGACATGCTCAATTCCTATATATATATATATATATATATTTTTAAATCCGACCTTCTTTTATTAGCATCATTTACAAGAGGTTGAGAAAATTGACTTTGGTGAGTGTTTTTGTTTTTTTGTTTTTTGGGACACTCCTTTTACGTGATTTTTCAAATCATTCAAAATCGATGTAGTATAATTTTGACCATATTTCTCTACCAAGCAAATCAACGATTTTATTGTTCCCCAATTTGGCTTTCAATTTTACCATATAAATAATTATTTTTCTATCCATATATTTTGTTCAAAACTAAATTGTAAATAAAATACATTAACTAAAAAATTGATTCTATAAAAATTAATTTATAACTAAATATTTTACTTTTACTAATAAGATAAAAACTCACTTTGTATTAAAACAATTGCTTATAAAGCAAGAGTACTACTAATAATATAAAAATTTACCAATAAAATATAAAAATTAGTAAAAACTAATTTAATTATAAGATTATTTAAAACTATAAAAGTTAATCATAAGTATATATTTCATCTTTAAGTTAAAAATTAACTTATATGTAAAAAATTATTTATAAAAAAATTTCACTTGTGAAAAAATTTCATACAGGAAATTATAAATTGAAAATTTCAATAAAGAACATATATGTGATTTTATTCTTATTTTTAAAAAATAAATAAAAATTGACAACTAAATAATAAACTCTCAAAAATAGATTGAATTATTTTTAAAATTGTTACTAAAAATCACTCAAAATCTGACTCCTCATAAATGTTCAAAATCAAAACTTCTCAAAACCATTACCTCCAAACTCTCAAGCAAGCCCTAAGTATTTATATTTAGATAAAATAATAAATAATATAAATAGTAAAAGGATGAAATGTTAGAAAAAATAAAATAAAAAATTGATTGTTCATCATACGACGAAACCCTCATCCGCGCTCTAAAATAAACCACCACAATCAACGTACTACCACAACCATCACCACAGCCCCATACAGGGCAGACAAACATTTAAACTATTTTTCTTTTTCTCTTTCCTTTTAATTTTCTATTTTTATTATTATTTTTTTATCATTTGATTGTAGAGTGATTATGGTTAATAATTGTTTGTAAATTTTAATTGTTGAATTGAAAAATTATAAAGACAATTATTGTATTTTTATAGTTAGGCAAACAAATTAATAGGAAGATAATACTACAAAGTTTTAAAACATCCTAAATAGAAATTTTGGCATTTTGTATATTTACAAAGAATGAATAATATTGATATAGTCATATAGACACGTGCAAAGTATTACTATGACCATCGATGGGTGGGTTTTAACCACTGATATTTAACATCAATTTAGGTGGCAATACTCGTATCGTCAAATTATATGTTTAGTTAAATACAAATATTTATGACCCATATATTAGGACCAATGACATGCTGACACCTATATAGCATTATTCTTAACATGTAGAATTTTTATTTTTCTTTGAAGGGGTGTGATTGATCTAAAAAAATTATTTGATTTAATTTCAAATAATAATAAAAATAAATAAATAAATAAATAATCATGAAATTGTAAAATTCAATCTCTTTTCATTAGATTTTAAGATATTATTTGTTGATTAATTTCATATTTATAATGTTGCTACTTAATCAATTGCAGTTTTATTTCAATTTATATTATTAAAACCTTCATTTTATACTTTTTTTCTGCTAATATTTAGATTTATGTTCTTCAATTTTACTTTGTTAAACAATTAGTAAGTGCCATTTGCCACCACGTCACTAATTTTTCATTTATTTTGTAATCATTATAGACAATAGTTTATATTTAAATAAAATTATAGAATTGTTATTTTACGATTTATATGGGTCATAATTATTATGGAGAACCTATGTGGCCCAATGATTTTTTATATATTTTTTTCAATAATAATTCTCGACACTATTGCAGTCAATCCTATTTGTATATGTCTTATGGTAATTATGGACTTGGCGAAATAAGAGCATCTTTGATTCCGTTGGCCGAGCTAAACTTCATCAAGCCTATATTTCAAGCGAGAGCTAGAGCGCTTCTTTCTTTTCTTCGCCTCTTCCCACCCTACAGATATGTGAAGTGAGAATTATTTTAAATAGATATAGTGCACCTTAAAAAAAATACTTCGAAGATGAACCTATTCCCATGCAATAGTCAAGAATTCTTGACGGTATAACAAACTGTTCTTTCTAAATATCCCAATTCAAGGTCAAAGAATTTTCGGTTCATTGGCATTTTTTTTTTTTTTTTTTTTAAGGGTTTTATGCCATGTAACTCTTCTCTTGGGCAGAATAGCAGGAATGGAGAAAAATGTGAAAAATCAAACAACTATAATACAGTATTTGTAGATGACGCTTCGACGGTTGGTGGCAGTGAAAAAATCAAATCTTTTGAAACAATACAAAAATTTTACATGTCAAAATGAAGTCCCATGCTATTATTAGTTAATATGCATATGGCGAAGGCATAGTTTTCCTTCCTTCTTTCTTTCTTTTTATTTTTTATTTATCTCAAATAAAAAAAATAAAAAAATAAAAAATAATAACAACATTGGCGCCAAGCATCAGGGAATACTAGATGATTGGTAATCTCTCCTCCAACCAAGATAAAAGATCCCAACGATCTATTGATTTTTCATTTTTTTTATTGAAAAATGAATAAGAATGAGATGTGTTAAACTTTTTATTGTTTTCCTTCCTTCTTTCTTTCTTTTTATTTTTTATTTATCTCAAATAAAAAAAATAAAAAAATAAAAAATAATAACAACATTGACGCCAAGCATCAGGGAATACTAGATGATTGGTAATCTCTCCTCCAACCAAGATAAAAGATCCCAACGATCTATTGATTTTTCATTTTTTTTATTGAAAAATGAATAAGAATGAGATGTGTTAAACTTTTTATCATATTTGCATTCAGCCATTTTTTTCGCATGACTGTGTGATATGAGACCTTCCTACATGATTCAAAGTGCATTGAATTAGAATGAGATGTTTATAATCATATCTTGCAAGGGGAAGCTCGACCGTCGTGATCTTAATTGTGGTTACCGATGAATGTTGTATGCGCCCAAAGCAATGTCTTTGACATTTTATTATGCCGTCACAACTTGAAAAAGAAATATGTAAGTGCATGTCAAGAGGGGAGAAGAAACAAAAGCAAGAGTTGGCGTTGCGAGCTACGAGCCTACGACTAACTTAGTCTTCTTTTGTAAATAAGTTTTCTGTGAGTGACTCTTTTCATATCTAATTTAGGTTTGTTACGGCAGTTGTTAGTTCCATCTGTTTATCAGTTAATTTGGAACTATTTATTAATTGCTATCTCATCCTTTTATTTTGGTCTTGTCAATGATTAATCTAAATATTGGTCTTTCTATTCGAGTACGTTCCTATTTATAGTTTGTTCCAAAACGGTTGGGATTCAAAACCAATATTATTCATATGAAAACTTTTCGATTTAAATGTTATTTAAATTTTCAATGAATGTCAATTTTAATGTTCATGAACACATATATTTTATTTGTCCACACTACCCAAAAGGTAGAGATGACAACGGGGCGTGTTCGTGGCGGAGCACCCTCACCCCATCTCGCCCAAACCCTGCCCCGAGGGGCGTCTGGTGGGGCAACAGGGATGGGGCAACTTATTGCCCTATTTTATTTTATTTTATATTTTCAAAGTTTCAATTTATGTTATTGTTAGATAAAAAAATACTAGTTCAAAATGAGTTTTTAACGGGTGAATTGTCAAGAAATAAAATTAATTTTAATCTTTTTTTAAACTTTTTCCTTCACGGGACAGGGCATCCTCCCGCCCTATCCTGCCAATCCGTTTAAGACGGGGTCCAATGGAGATGGAGCACGACGAGTTTGTTTGCCATCACTACCAAAAGGTTGGGGAGGCCAACTCTAATTCTCCCTAAAGTTTAAAACACACGCAATTAGAATTACATCACTTTTCCACTTCATTTTCTATATTTAGACCTCTCGTTTACAGTACAGGCACCTAAAAAACCTAAACAGAATAGACTTGAAAGAAGAGCTTTAGAACATAACCATCTCAACGGGTTACTTATAACAGGCCATTTACATTGACATCCATTAAAGTCAACAGAGATTAATGTTACAAATACAAGTTCAAGTTTTTCGATTAGGTTACTCGTAGTATTATTAGAGCTGAACAAAACTCTCGAATCGAAAGATTTTTCTTAATTAAATATCCAAATGAGTATCTAAATTAAGAACCGATGAATTTGGTTAAGTTCTCGGTTCTATATTAAAAATCGAATAACAATCGAATCTCCATAATTTTTTAATTAATTTTATTTTTCTAAATAAATTTGTTAATTGGTTAATTTAGTTCAAACCAAAAAATTATAATTTTTCTATTTCTAATTTTAATCCAAAGCTAACTTAATTAAATTGACCTAAGTTTTATCCAAAATTGTTACACTACCGCAATATCGTTTCTGCCATTCTAGAGAAATCGAATTAAAGCTTGACGTCTCTCTAAATTATTTTGAACTCGCTATCTTCCTCATCCTATGATTTTAACAATCAAACCTATAAAGAACTTAGCAAAAAGAAATATAAAAGATCCATAAGATTGGACTACGTCAGTGTGTAAGAGCTAAAATTGAACATATCATTCATTAAATTAATCTAACTTTATAAATATTAAAAAATTGAATTATAATATGGAACCTAAGAACCAAATGAAACCGAAATCCGAACCGTTCCATAATTAAATTTGGACTCAATGGCTCCACTTACTAAATACCCGAAAATTTCGGGTTCGGTTCGATTCTCGTTAGAACTAAGAACCGAACCATGTCTAGCCTCAAGAATTACCACCTTCAATTTGACTACAAAGAGATTATTTACATCTGGTACATCAAAGCTCTAACCACATCCAACTTGTAAACAAAAGAGATTAACAATGCAAAGCTAAATTCATCAACTCGTGTAAGATATGTAATTGAGATAAGACTTCATTAGAATCTGACAGAAACATCCCACAAAATTTTTAACAATTCAACCTTGAGAAATTTTCAAATTAGACTAAGAATAGCCGATGATACAGAAACTCCACAGCAAAGACAGTGCTCTTCCCGTGTAATTCATACACCAGGAAGGCACAAAATCCTAGAAACTTATTTCTTCTTCCCAGCCTTGGCCGCATCTCCAGCCTTCGTCTGCACAACAAAAGCAGATGACATAAGAATATCATGCGATCAAAATTGTCATAAAGGTTATATTAAGACACGGCAATGTCTTCCAATCTATTTTCTTCAAGTGCTTGAAAAGCTACCTATCCGCTTTTTTTCTTAACACACAAGTTCTTCATGAACAAGTTAGCTTTAAGGTATTTTCAAGGAATTTATAACTTCAACTTAGACCAAATAGTGTGAAGAACCCTTGCATGTGTTTTCAGTTTCACAAACATAATTTGCAGAATCTCTCAGAGCGACATGACATACTCCTTCTTTACTCCACGGATCTTCTTAGCCCTATTCTTCCTCTCCTTCAGCTGCTTCCTAGACTTCTCAACCTTCGTATCAAGACCATTCTGCATACAAAGGTTATGATATTTTAAGATTTTAGAGACAAGTAAATCAACCATCATAGAACACAGACCCAGAATGACCAAGTTATTGGAGGCAATATAAAAAATATTTCACTAACTGGAAATTTTTGCCTTTTCTACAAATACGTAAGGGAAAAAAATATTATAGAGTTAACACACTAATAAAAGAGCTATGAGTTGGGAGAAGGCAATAAAAACTAACTAGATTTTGACTTTTAAAAGAGCTACGATTTTGGGTGAAGACACATGTTTCGTGTCTATCTACTACATGATGTGCAGTAGGAACAACTGCCCAGGCGATGTAAACATGGTATTACAACTTACAGAGGAACCTATTAAACAAAATGATTCTATACTGTCATGAAGCTCAATTTAGTGACTTGTTATTGACCATCTCAACAATAGAAGACCGAGACACTAAAACAAAATAAGCAAGTATACATATTTCAGAGACCCCCACAGTCCTAGTTAAGCAAAAGCTTCGTCATAAAAAAGACAAGCGAAGAACTGCTAACAATTTGGTTCTCACTATCAATAGGTAAATTGCAAAAGGCATTTCATATGTTTCATAGAAGATTACATTAATAGTTGAATAGGGTGACAAATTACCCTGATGAGTCTATACTTTGGCTCATATTTCTTAGCATTCTCCACAGAATCATAGATCAAGCCGAAACCAGTAGATTTGCCTCCACCAAAGTGGGTCCTGAATTTGAACACAAAGATAGCATTGGGATCTTTAACCTCATACATCCTCGCCAATTTCTCCTTTAGTTCAGGCTACGGTAACAAGATAAATAGGTAAGATATAAAGCTGCATACTTCTATTCACAACAAATTCACATAACAATTGCTCACGTCCATAAAATTGAAGGGGACAAACGCTTTGGCTCAGAATTTACTGTAAAAGAAAAATATAGAGAATAAAGCTTGAATTTAGCAATAAGAGAACTTGAGACTAGTTAAAAAACATCACCATACACCAGCTTCTTTTCGTATTTTTAAACATTTATGATTACTCATTCACTCCATTTCCTATTTCCCATCATTCCATTATTGCTAGTTCACACATGGTATAGCTCTAAAATGAAAATATTTTTCTTCAATTATTTTGGTTAACAAATGAAATATTGCCAAAAATCATCACAAAATATTGTCAAAAAATCATCTCAAAAAATCATACCAGGAGAAAATATAATCTATCCTAGAAACTACACAACATATTCCTCCATGCGTCTAGAAGTTACACTCTCATGGACTAAAATATTGCCAAAAATCATCACAAAATATTGTCAAAAAATCATACCAGGAGAAAATATAATCTATCCTAGAAACTACACAACATATTCCTCCATGCGTCTAGAAGTTACGCTCTCATGGACTAAAATATTGCCAAAAATCATCACAAAATAAAATGCAATAGATTTCCATATATTGTAAAGCAGCAAACCTTGGAAACATTGGGTCGCCCTGGATGTAGCACATCGATGATCTACCAAATAAACCCATAAATAACAGATATTAATTGAAGGAGAAGTGTACAAAGTGAATAAAACCAACAAAAATACTATAATTCAAATAAATACAATTATCCAGTCCTTACAAACTGTTACCTGGAGAGGAGTCGATCGGTCATAAACTTCCTAGTTCTGATAGTCACTGCCTTCTCCGCCATTTCCCTTTAAAGTCAAAACAACCCTAAGTCGTTCAATTACAATAATGAAGCTTAGAGTAAAAAATGCAAGCAGAGAGAGGCGCCGATATAAAACTACGGTGTTGGATGAAGAGATTTACGCCTAGTGCCGCCGCTGCCTCAGTTACTCAGCAGTGTCAATGACAGGCTGTTCGTCTACTTCAACGGCGATTTGTCTTTAGCCCCAAGTTTAGAAATAACAGACTTCTTTTATAAATTTTAGGCTCTTATGGGCCGAACCAAAACAATAATGGGCTTATCTCAATGTAGTACTTATTTTTACAAGATTGACACAAATAACACTAACAGAGAGATTTTTGTTAAATGCAGACAAAAGTTCACTCTTTCCTGATAGATTTTAAGTTGGGTGTCTTCAAATGAGACTTCTAAATCAGCAAGGTTGGGGGAGCCTGCAGTGAGATTGATCGAACATTGAATTCCGATGGGTTT